CACACACACACACACACACACACACACACACACACACACACACACAAAATCTCCTTTAAGTTGAATATTAAATAAATGGTTGAAAGATCTTGATAAAGTGATGTGGACAATGTATTCTTAAAATTATTCAGATACACAAATTGTATGATTCCATTTAAGTAAAGTTCTAAGAAATGCAAAGTAATGTGCAGGACAGAAAGCATATTGGTAGTTGGTTGAGGGACTATGAAGGGGTAAGGGAGAAACTCTTAGGGGTGAAAGATATATTCATTATCTTCATTGTGGTGATGACTTTGTGTGTGTGTGTGTGTGTGTGTGTATATGCAAAAACACTTCAATGTACACACTTTAAATAGGTGTAGTTTATTCTATATCAATTATGCTTCAAAAAAGCTCTTAAACTATTAAAAATTATTTAGATACAGAAAATTTACTGTTAATATATTATTTGGAAGAAAAAGGGTACAAAAGAATATGCAAAGTATGGTTTTATTTAAAAAATATACTTGTAGGAAATGCCTAAAAATGTACACTGAACTGATATTTAAAAAATTTTTTTTTAACATTTATTCACTTTTTGAGAGACAGAGACAGAGCATGAGCAGGGGAGGGGAAGAGAGAGAGAGGGAGACACAGAATCCGAAGCAGGCCGCAGGCTCTGAGCAGTCAGCACAAAGCCCAATGCAGGGCTTGAACCAACAAACTGTGAGATCATGACCTGAGCCGAAGCCAGATGCTTAACAGACTGAGCCACCCAGGTGTGCCTAATCTGGTGTTTTTCAAAAAAATGTTTATTCATTTATTTTTGAGAGAGACAGAAAGCACAAATGGGGGAGGGGCAGAGAGAGAGGGAGAGAGAAGGAGAGAGAGGGAATCCCAAGCAGGCTCTGCACATTCAGTGTGGAGCCAGATGGGGGCTCAAACCCACAAACCGTGACATCATGACCTGAACTGAAGTTGAGCACTTACCTGACTGAGTCACCGGGCTGCCCTGGTATGCAAAACTGTTAAGAGTGCTTCCTCTGCAAGACAGATTTAAGTGATACTTTATTTTGAATGATTTCTTATTCAATTTTACAAATATCTACTGAGCATATACCATGTGCTGGAAATGGCAATAGGGTTAGGGAATATAGTGGGGAAAATCTGCACAATCTCCTGCTCTTCCTAATTTATATTCTTAAGCAAGAAAGAATGTCAAATGATGACAGTTACAAGGAGGGAAAAAAAAACAGGGTGATGTTTCACATATGCTGTTACACTAAATGAGGAAGGTCTTTCTAAAATGGCAACATGTGAACTGTGAACAGGATGACCAGAAGGAGCCCTCTATGAAAAACATCTAGGAGAGAATTTTCTAGGCCTTCATGAGGAGTCAGGAGTTTATTCCGGGTGCATATGGCAAGAGGATGGAGAATCCTTTGGGAAGAGGTGGAGATGAAACACCCACTTTGGCTACAATGTAGATGTGAGGCTAAGAGATAAAGGTAGCAGAGAGAGATGGACATTGCAAAGGTGTAGGTGAAGGAGGATAGGATGATGGCCGCAATCTGCAGGTAGCGCGTGACGGAGAAGAATAGGTACGGGCACTGCTTCAGCAACAGCTCATGTGATTTACGGACAGATTTTGTTATATATGCATATCTGTAGGTCTTTCTTTTCTCCAGTGAGAAGATATTTATTCTGTTGTCAGAATAGCTAAAGAGCTCTGTTCACTATTTATGTTTTGAAAGGAGAATACTTTCTAAGGACAATGAAAGACAGTCAATTCTGACACTCTGGTTTCCTTAAGTGATGACAAGAAAGCATGGAATTTAGCTCACTGATTTTTCAATATTAAAATAAGACTTTTGAGGTTATCATTACTTTTTAAGCTTTCTGTCAAGTATATCTTTGAGTTGGTATCATGTGGCCATTGATTTTCAGATACGCTGGCTAAAAATTTGCAAAAAGTTCAATTCCTGCACGTGGGCCTAAGAGATGTACCTGTATCCCCTTTCAAGTCTTCTGAAACACACTTTTCAATTCCTTTATATGACTCTAATTCTACACCAAGGAAACTTATGTCAGGATATTTTATGCAAAAAATCAATTATTCTACCCATGATCTTAAAATCTGCTCTCTTGGGGCGCCTGGGTGGTTCAGTTGGTTAAGCGTCTGACTTTGGCTCAGGTCATGATCTCACAGTTCATGAGTTGGAGCCCCACATCGGACTCTGTGCTGACAGATCAGGGACTGAAGCCTGCTTTGGATTCTGTGTCTCCCTCTCTCTTTGCCCCTTCCCGACTCACACTCTCTCAAAAATAAATAAAATAAATAAAATAAAATAAAATAAAATAAAATAAAATAAAATAAAATGAAATAAAATAAAATGAAATGAAATAAAATAAAAGTAAAGTGAAGTAAAGTAAAAAGTAAAGTAAAATAAAATATTAAATAAAACATTAAATAAAATATTAAAAACATTTTAAAAAATCTGCTCTCTTGTACCATATGTTGCTTAGCCAGATCATTTATATATTTACAGAAATATCACTAATATAGAAGGCTTGGCAAGCTTTATCCTACAGGCTATTTTTTGGTGGCCCTCAAGGTAAGAACATTGTTTCATTTTCAAAGAGTTGTAAAGAAGAAAAAAAAAAGAAGTCTAAGATATTTAAATATCTGGCCCTTTACAAATAAAGAGGTCATCACCAGTAGAAGGAAATTATAAGTCAAAACTAGTGACTTAAAAAGTTTAATCCAGAATAAGAAGATTGGTACACACACACACACACACACACACACACACACACACACACACACTGAAATATTATGCAGCCATAAAAAGAATGAGATCATGCCATTTGTGACAACATAGATGGACTTAAGAGGGTATTCTGCTTAGTGAGCTAAGTCAGATGAGAAAGACAAATACCATATGATTTCACTCAGATGTGAAATCTGAAAAAAACAAATGATTAAACAAACTAACAAAAAACCAAATCATACCTATAAATACGGAGAACAACTCCGTTTGTCAGAAAGCTGGTGAGCCGGGATGGGCAAAATGAGTGAAAGGGATTAGAAGATACAGGCTTCCAGTTATGGAATGAGTAAGCCACAGGAATAAAAAATACAGCATAAACAATATAGTCAATGATATTAGAATAATGTTGTACAGTGTCAGATGGTAGATACACTTGTAGTGAACATAGAGTAATATATAAGCTTGTTGAATCACTTTTTTTAACTTGAAACTAATAGAACATTGTGCCAACAATACTCAAAACAAGGTTAATACAGGTAAGATTAATCTAAAGTACAACTAGTAACTCAAAAGATGATTTAACCAACTTGCCAGGCTGGGAGAAATAAATACAGATCGAAGCAATGCTTCTAAGAGTGATTTCTTAAATGCTGGAAATTCACTATTTCCATTCAGTTCAACATGGACTCATCACTCAGCCCTCCTTATTATAATCTTATCTCATGATTCCTTCTAGGATGTAATTTCTTCAAAGATGAGAGATACTATAAATATAGTACTCTTTGTACTTTAGTGCTAACTCAGTGTGCTACGAGTTACAGTTAAATTTTATAATCACTGATTGGGTTGCTGAAGTGATTTTCTCTTTTTGATAATTTTAACATCATGACTCCCTCCGTTTTACTAGGGAGGGAGATTTACAAGGAAGTAAACTTATTGGCAATTCAGTAGTTGCATCCAGTTTAACAGAATTCAGTAGTTTAGACAGCATTCAGATAAAAGTACCCACTGCATAAAGTTGCTGAATTTCATTAATTATGCCCATTGATGCACACCATGCAAATAACACTTTGGGGAGCTTTCACATTACTCTTTGTTTGCAGGTGGGCATGGACCAATCCCAGAAGAGCAAATGCACTAACAATCCTTTTCAGACAGCAAATTCCACCACCCCACCAAAAAGATGAACACAGAAACAAAGCCAAAGAAACAACCAACTGAGAAGAAAAAACACTCAAAAGCAAAAATTAATTCTGATCGTATTGTTTAATAAAAGCAAACCAGAAATCACTTCTATCGTGACAAAAATAACAGATGAGAGAAAAAGCTTAAGTAGGAGACTCTGGTTAATAGGAACATTTTGGAATTCGATTTCCTGCACTGGAGTCCCTGGTCTACTACTTCGTAAGTGTGTGGCTTTGAACACAGTACCTCACTCAGGCTCAATTCTTTAATCTGTAAAATTGAGGCGACAATAATTGCCAACCCTATGGACAAATCTGTGGATTAAATTAGGTAATGGTAATGCCTGCAAAGCAGCAAAGTACATGGAACAGAGAGCATTAATACCAGATTAATACCAGACCAGAGTAATTAGTACCATTTCAGAGCATGGTTGCTGATTACCGAATTGATTCTAACCAACCTTGGCTACCTTGTCCAAATTCTTAATGAAAAACAAAATTCTAGTTCTTTACTTCTGTGTTTCTAAAGATAGTATCTAAAGCACTTGGCAATTAAAAAATGATAGCAATACTTTTGGGATTGGTATAGTACCTAGAGCACATCCACATATATTTTCTTGGCTTATTTGCAGCAGAATCTAGAAAAGTTCATTAACAGAGGTTATTACCCTCTTTTTGGCAGGAATAGAGAAAGGCTCGGAGAGGTCATCATCATCATTTACGGTACCACAGCAAGTGCTTATGCTTGAGACTTCAGATATGAGCATATCTCACTACCTATATTACCATTCCTTCCCATAATCCTCTATACTCTGCTGATGGCTGATGATAAATTTCCCCAGATCTAGAGTCAAGAAAAACAACGATTCCTTTTTCCTGCAGCAGAAACTTACTGGTCGGGACTGGATTTCTTTGGCGTAGAGAGGTTGCAAGAATTCGGAGTCTCCTTCTAGTTTTAGACCTTTGTCTGTGATTCTCAAGTTCCCCATTCCATCCTGAAATAGAAGCACAGAGATAACATAGAAAATGCAATTAGCCAATATTTCGAAAAACCCTCAGGCTTTCAAAAACGGAAACAAAGTTATTGCCCCCCTTTTTTTGAGAGGGTGAAATGAGAGGAGGTCCAATAAAACACTAGGAAGTATTGTTCAATGCAATTATGCATATTACCCTCTTTGCTCACTTATTCTGAGAAAATTCTATTCCAAGCAATCTGTAATGCCCCCTAGTCATTTACTAGCACAGATGAAGGAAGCCCTTTTGCTAGGAAGTGCAGAAAGAAGGGAGCCAGGAGGTGAGTGGGATAGAAGAAAAAGATAATTCCCCAGGTTAAAGAAAAAGTTCCAGTTTCCAAAACTTTATGCAGAAATTGTTAACTGGTAGCCTCATGGTCGAATCCAGTTTTTGGACACGGTATGTTTTTCTCACAAAATATTTAAGAAGTCAAATTAGTTACCAACATTTTTACCAATATTTTATTATGGAGATATTAAAATGTATACAAAAATAGAAAGTGTAAATAGCACACACCTGTGTACCTGTCATTTGTCTTCAACAATGATCCATTTATGGCTACCATTATTACTTTACCCACCGCACTCATCTCATTTGGTTAAATATAACCATCACTACCACCATCACAACAAAAAATAAATAAAATCATTAATATCATTTAATGCTCAGTGTCAATGTTCAAATTTCATTCATTTAAATTTTTTCTCCTTACATTTGCTTATTTGGATCAAGTTCCCTGCTGTAATTAGTTGGTACATGAAATACTAGGTCATCTCCTGAAAGTCTCCTAAGTCAGTCAGTTTCTCTCTCACATCCATACACATAAACATACTTTATTCGATAAAGAAAACATATCATTTTTGTGATAGCATTGCCCAGAATTTACATTTTGTTGAGCATTCCATAATTTCACACAATGTGTTCTTCTGTCTCCTGTATTACCTATAAATTGGTAGTTAGATCAAGAGGCTTGAAAACTCAGTTTTATAGGAAGAACACATTCTAAGAAATGGAATATATTAGTATTCTATTGCTACTATCACAAATAACCATGAACTCAGTGGCTTAAAACAACACAAATTCATTATCTTACAGTTTTGTACATGTCTGATTCAGGACTCAAAGGGCAAAAATCAAGGTGCCAGCAGGTCTGTTGCACCCCTTCCTGGAGGTTTTAAGGGAGAATCCAGTTCTTGACTTTTTCTAGGTTCTTGAGGCTGCCCACACTCCTGGGCTCATGGCCTCTTTCATCTTCAAAGTTCACATTGACTGGATGACTCTGACAATGAATCTTCCAACTCCCTCTTCCACTTTTAAAGATCCTTGCAATTTCACTGAGCACACCTAGATAATTCAGGACAATCTCTTCATTTTAAAGTCATCTGATTAGCAACCATAATTCTATCCATAATGTTAATTCTCTTTTGCCATGCAATGTGACATATTCAGGGGTTTTGAGATGGGGACAATGACATCTTTGAACTGGAGGGTATTTTTCTAATACATGCTCTGTCGGGAGACATACAATGTCTTCCACGGTGATGTCATCAGCCACTGGTGATCTTTGCCCAGAGGATCTATTACTTCACTAGAGATTTCAAATTGGTGATAAACTAATTCTATTATTTCTTAATTTATTAGTTGTGGTATTCTATCAGGAAAAAGTGCATTTCATCAACTGTTACCCTAAATTATAGTTTACAAAATCCTGAAAGTTGTTTGATTTTTCCTCCTTTATTTATTGATCCTCAAAATATTGGTCACCTAGTATCCTCCAAAGATAACCAATGAGTGCTTTTTTCTTTTCTAAGAATCATTATGGACATTTTTTACTTGTGTCATTCCAGTGTAGTTTTTATTGCTATTGAAGTTCTAACTGTGCTACCCTTGCTCAGCAGGAACCTCTTCAAGTTGGTGTCTAGGTCATTTTAATATGACCCAGTAGTCTTTGATGGACCTTATGCTTCTGGTATGACAAAATTATCTAGAGTTATTTCACAGAACATCCTGTCCCAGGCCTGGAACCAGTCATTTCTACTAAGAACACCTGTGGCAGCTTTTTGTAGTAAGTAGTAATTAGAAACCACAAACTGAGAGCTTCAGGTGCTCATTGCTACTGGGTTGATCCTTGGGTGCTGGGACCCTTGGGTGCTACTGGGTTGCTACTGGGTTGTGGACAGAGCTGGAGAATAAGTTCTGAATGTTGTTGTTTTTTTAATAGAATAAACTACAAATTCTCATTAAACTTCAATTCAAATTCAGGACCTGAATGTTTCCATTGAATCTCATAGATCTGACAATGTTATTACCTTTCTTTCAAACCAAAAATCTGTGTTCTCAGTAACAAGAAAATGATTACTCATTTGATTTAACCCACAATATACAGTCACTACTATTCTAACATTATGATTAAGCAGAGCAATTTAAAATTTGTCTTAAAACAACTCTACAGCACATCCTACTAGGAAGGTACGGTCAAATGACTGGATTTCAAAACCACTTGAAACAATTCCATTATGTATAGTTAGGTTATGCCACCAACCTGCTGTCTGGTAAGGTTTAATCATTTCATTCCCCACCACCTTTCAATTTTTCATGAATGTTTTAAGGTTCAATTTTGTATTATAGTTCTGTGAACTGTTAGGTGGGACCAAAGTCATATCTACAAAACAAGATGTATTCAAAGAAGTCTAGCTTCTTTCCTTGTCCTTCCACCTGGTTTCCTTTTTTCCAAATAAGTGTGGGTGTGTATCTGTATCACTCAGTGTTCTCCAGGGAAACAGAACGAACACACACACACACACACACACACACACACACACACACACTCATTTTAAAGAGCTGGCTTTAGCAATTGTGGAGGCTGACAAGTTTCAATATCTGCAGTTAGCAAGCCAGAGACCCATTTTAATAAAACAATATACACGTACATATATAAAAACACATACACACACACACACATACTTTTTAAAAATTTATTCCTACATTTTCCCAAACACATGTGAAAACTGAAAGATTTAAATAAAAATTCCAGGTTTTCAGCTTCCTGTGAAGCTGGAAGGCTTGGGAAACCTGAGCCTGCCTTCTCTCATAGTCACCACTGGCTGGAAGTGAGTAGCTGACCTAGGCTATGCTAGGGACCATATACTCTTCAGTTTGCCAGTTCACACCCAGCCTATTTCACTAAGTTACATTTTCTCAGATTCCTCAAGTTCCTCTTGAGTCTACCATTTCTTCTCTCTGGCACTGCCACATGGTCTGTCCATCAATATATTCAGGACAGACACCACATTGGGGGGTATTGAATGACCATGTGGGAAATGGGCACTTTTCCCCATCCCTCCTTCATAATGGCACTTCAGCCTGTGGATGAGAACAGATTTTTCAGGTCAATATTGTCCTTTCATGGATAGCATGCCATCTGTATATTTCTATTTTTGGTACTTGCGGGGACAGCTCTGCCAAAAGGGTCCCAGACTGGGCATTCAAACCCAGAGTGAGAAGCAATGGGCTGAGGGTATGTTCATATCACACTAGCAGCAGGTAGAATCCACAACCAAAGAAAAAAAAAAAGAAAAAGTTAACACCCACCCAATCCCCACCCCCCAAAGTATATGTCAATTATCTTGTTTTGGTTTATACTTGATGATTTTTGTTAGTTGGAGAAACAGACCTTTTCATAGAAACACATACTAAACCTGACATCTATAAACCAACTAAACTGGTTTGTTTGTGTGATGTGTGTTAGATAAGAACGGCTAAACATTCTTATATAGAAAATTATATTTGGGGTAATTAGCAAGCCTATTTAGATAAAATCTATCTCCCTCCCCTCTTATTAAAGTGTATAGATCTGCCATTCTTAATATTTAGTGGTAACTTACTATGTGCTTATTACTATACTCTGTGTTTTCCATGCTTTATTTCATTTTTATGAATTTCTACTGAAAACCACCATGTTTCTTCATGTATTTAATCATAAGGAAATAAAACTATAAATGCAAAATTATTTGGCTATTTATTGAGTTGGTCATCACCTTGCCAGTTATGAGAAAAAAAATTAAAACTTAAAAACTACCCAAAAGCTTCACTGTTAATGAAGAGCCTGATGCAGGGCTCAAACTCATGAACTTGGGTTGAAATGAATAGTTGGTCGCTCAACCAACTAAGCCACCCAGGCGCTGCTGCATAATCCATTATTAATGAAATAATAACTCAATAAAGAAATATATGTGCATTTTTACCATTTTTATATAACTATATATAAATATTCATACAGATACACACATACAATTATATGTGCACATAGGACAAATTCTCGAAGAAATTTCATAGGGGAAAAATTCTAGAGAGAAATATACTTAAATGTTAATAATGAAAATCTTTACATGCCTAAGATATGAGTGTTTTATTTTCTTCTTTTTGCTTGTCTGTAGTGTGTCATTTTCTATAAATAGCAATTGTAATGAGAAAACCTGTTATAAAATAGTTAAGTTCTCATTGATTTACTTACAAAATAGTACGTTGCTTTAAAAAGTAACATGTGTCAGGGGCGCCTGGGTGGCGCAGTCGGTTAAGCGTCCGACTTCAGCCGGGTCATGATCTCGCGGTCCGTGAGTTTGAGCCCCGCGTCGGGCTCTGGGCTGATGGCTCAGAGCCTGGAGCCTGTTTCCGATTCTGTGTCTCCCTCTCTCTCTCTGCCCCTCCCCTGTTCATGCTCTGTCTCTCTCTGTCCCAAAAATAAATAAACGTTGAAAAAAAAATTAAAAAAAAAAAAGTAACGTGTCAATAATCCATGTCATATACTAAGTGCTATACACATCATCTCATGCCATCTTCTTAATGATCCTATGATATAGTCTTTATTTTCCTTATTTTACAGGTGAAAAAATATACTGATCCGTAACTTGCTCATAATTGCACAGCTAGTTAATTACAGGATCAGGAATTTGAACCCAAGTCTTTCCAGTTCAGACTATAT